AAGCGACTCATGGCTGCCCAGAGACCCGCAAAGCTGGGGGGGGGGGGAAGGGGGGGGCAGCCCTGGGCACAGGGGTCAGAAGCGGAACCTTTGGCATTGGCACAGTCCAACCCCCAGCCCGGGAATTGGGGGTGGACGGCACAGCCTCTGTGGATCGCTTTGATCCGCGCCCCAGCGTAAAACTGAAGGTCTTTCTGCCTCCCAGTGACTTTTCATTTTATTATTTGGGCATGTTACGGCCTGCTGTTCTGCCCAGAGAACACAAAGGTGCCTAACATTAAAGGAACAAACATTGAAAAACCGGCTTTCAACACATACAATCTTTGTATTACCTCCTCAACCTAGAAAGGCTATCTGAAGAGGAAGGCAGGGAGTCCCTCCCAGAGCAGAAAGAGTGGGCACTGAGCAGGGCTGCCCACGGAGACCAACAGGTTGAAGGGGCAGCTGGAGGGAGGGGCTGCCCTAACAGGGCTGAGGCTGGGCACCATTTGGGTCATCTGGGGACAGCTGCCCTCTGGAAGAGGGTATTGGCCAAGGGTCCGCTCCAGGCACTCAGGTTTGGGATCTGGGCCCAGGGAATGGAGGCTGGCACTCAGGCCAAGTGGCAAGAGGCAGCGAGGACTGAAGCCCAGTGAGCCTGCGTGCCAGCAAGAAGCCCTCCGAGGCTAGGGCTTCAGGTGGCAGTATTAGCTGGAATGCCCGTTGGAGGAGAGTCACACCAGCCAGCCCCACTGCAGAGCTCTCGACCAGCCTGCCAGCGCCATGTTCAGGCCACTCTTCCCCGGCCACAAACCCTTGGTGGGTGTGAGAAGCAAATCTGGGAAAGGGGAGATACCTGCTCAGGCTGGCTCAGGAGTTTCTGTACCTGCTCCTGCTTTGCCCCCCAGGATATTCCCTTTGGAATATTCCAAACTAATAAAGGAACATCTTTTTTGGTAGAAATGGGAGAAGCTGGAAGCTTTGGAGGCGGAACTGGCCCTGGCTGTGCCCGTTCTGCTGAGCATCAGCGAGCCTGCTTTCTCCAGACACACCTCCCAGATTCTGGAGTTCTTAGTCCCGCTCAAGGATGACCTGGCCGTATGTGTAAGTACAGCCCTGCAGAGAGACCTCCTCCGCCTCCTCCTCCCCCCCCACACCCGGGATCCCGAGAGAAAGGCACCTTGTCAACCGACCCCCTTCCCTTTGGTTCAGGTGCGGCACAACCCTTCACACCACCAGAAGTCCAGCCTCCTCCAGTCGTTCAAGGAAGAGATCCAGAAGTTCAACAGCAGCAGCGTCCAGGTGAGCAAAGCCCCCCAGACACTGTCCCGAACGTCTTTGCTCAGGTGGGCAGACGGGGGAGCTCATGGCACAGATATTACAGACCCGCTTAAAAAAATGAAGTATCTTGACGGTCAGCTTGTTGTGTGGGCTAGCTACCAGCTTCCTGGACTCGGGGTGAATGTGTTAATTGATGTATTTGTGGGGGCCCTGTTGTATATATATGGTTTATTGTTTCAGTTGTTTTAGTCCAGGCTGCCTGTCTATGTGGGTTTAATTGTTTTTATTGTCTTCCGGATTTCGTAATGCAGGGTTTTTCAAACTTGGCCACTTTAAGATGGGTGGACTTCAACTCCCAGGAATTCCCCCAACCCGCAACAAAGGGGGGGGGAGATTTGGGGGAGATAAACCCCCCCCACCAAAAAGGGGGCCAAGTTTGAAAAACAGTGGTCTAATGGAATGGGTGACTCCAACAAATTTAATCAATTAAATTGAATTTTGAAGACAGATGGTCACATTTACAGATTTGCTACACACAGACCCTCCATGCTTGAAGGCAGTTTACCTAAAATGGCCAGGAGCTGGGAACAAACACCACCGGGTTTTTTT